TGTTTCGTGTGCGGCGTGGGATGCAAGGTCACGATCGACGGCGTTTGTAAAAGGTGTGCACGACTCTGTAAATTGTAAAATACGTTTGTATTTTGTAATCTGACGTACGCCCTCTATCGACGTGGTTTGCAATTCTGACTTAAGGGATTAGGCTATTAGCTAAAATGACTCATTACAACCGTAGAGAACGTGGTAGATACGACCACCGAGACGGTTACGACCGCCGAGACGGTTACGACCGCCGAGACGGTTACGACCGCCGAGACGGTTACGAGGAACGCGAACGGCAGAGGCGACGCGAGGAACGCGAACGGCAGAGGCGACGCGAGGAACGCGAACGGCAGAGGCGACGCGAGGAACGCGAACGGCAGAGGCGACGCGAGGAACGCGAGGAACGCGAAGAACGCGAACGCGAGGAACGCGAGGAACGCGAGCGGCAGAGAAGACGCGAGGAACGCGAACGCGAGGAACGCGAGCGGCAGAGAAGACGCGAGGAACGCAAGCAGCAGTGGGAACTCGAGGACCGGGAATACGAGCAGAGGCGACGCGAGAAACGCGAGCGGTGGGAACTCGAGGATCGGGAAGACGAGCAGAGGCGACGCGAGAAACGCGAGCGGTGGGAACTCGAGGACCGCGAAGACGAGCAGAGGCGACGCGAGAAACGCGAAAAACGCGAGCAGCGAAAACGCGAGAAACGCGAGAAGAGACAGCAAGTTGCAAATCCGAGTGGAGAAATGCAGCAGAGGGCAGAACGTGAATTGGTACCCGCAAACGATCAACCCGGATTTCGTATTATTCACGCTAGCGATATGTTCGAAACATATCGGATAGACCTAACGCGTTTTGAGGACCCGGAAGAAATCTTGCAATATAAGGATCGCATCGAGGAAATTTTACAAAATCATCGTTTCAAAGCCATCAGATATCGACTCGTTTTGGTCGTAAATATGCAGCGAGGGGCAGACGTGGCCGTACCCGCCTTTCACTCGGGTGCATATAAAGTTTTCGAAGAATTAGATTTGGAAAAGGACGTAAATCCCTTAATCGCGGCGGTTGGACGATGGACCGAAAACGGATCGGAATGGAGCATAAATCATCTCGTGCATCTAGATATAGTGATCGCCAGGCTCATCCCCTTGGGTGGTGGTGGGTACGCACCGTTACCCGACGTGTTGAAAAATAAAAAAGCAATCGTCAACGTTAAAAACAAAGACGACTCGTGCATCAAATACGCCGTTACCAGCGCGCTTCACCCCGTCAAGGGTCACACCGATCGACCCTCGAGTTACGCTCAACATCTGGACGAGCTCGACTGGAGCGGTATAACGTTTCCCACGCCGGTCAAACAGATTAAAATCATCGAAAAGAATAATCCTCGGCTCAAGATTAACGTTTACGGCTGGGCGGAAGAGGGTAAAGGGTATTTGCATCCGCTATACTTTGGCGGTGAGCACGTGGATCGTACGCTGATTAATCTCTTGCTGTACGATAATCACTACATGTGGATTAAAAAGATGAGCCCGCTTCTCACCGGATACAGCAAGCACAAGGGGAAAAAGCATTTCTGCTGTCGATGCTTGCACGTTTATAGCACGGAAGAACGTCTGTTAAAACACGAGCCCGATTGCAGGGGCATAAACGACGGCTTAACGGCGGTGCAACTCGCCGATGAAAATGGCAAGTTGCTGCAATTTAAAAACGTACAATACAGGGCCATGACGCCGTTTGTAATCTATGCGGATTTCGAGTGCATCTTGGAAAAGATGCCGCCGGACGAGACCGGCCCGAAAACGTTTAGAGACGCCAAGCACGTGCCGTGCGGTTGGTCGTACGTGGTGGTAAGGTACGACGGTCGAGCGGTCGGACACGGATTGCACAGCGCAAATGCCGAAGATGCGAGCGCGTGCGTAAAATCCTTTTTGGATCGACTCGCGATCGAAAAGGATAAAATTATCGACATTTTCAAGCGAAAACCCGTCGACCCCCGCAGCGTGATGACGAGCGAGGACGAAGCGAGCTTTGAGGCCGCGACGACCTGCTGGATCTGCGAACGAGGCGGTTTTACGGAATACGGCGGGGTCGGCGACTGTTGGAAATGCGACAAGGTCAAGAACAATCCCGACAACAAATTCAAGACGTGCTACGAGTGCTCGATAAAAAAGAATGGACAAAAGGTGCGAGATCACTGCCACGTCACCGACGCGTATCGCGGAGCGGCTCACGCGGGTTGCAATCTCAAGTTGCGGTTACACGAGAATACGCCCATACCCGTGATATTCCACAATCTTGCCGGGTACGACGGGCACCTAATCATGCAGGCGCTCGGAAAGATGCCGGGAAAGGTCAGTTGCATTCCGAGCAATACGGAAAAGTACATTTCCTTTAGCTCGGGGAACCTGAGATTCATCGATTCGATGAAATTTCTAAACGCTTCGTTGTCGGCGCTGGTGAGCAAGTTGCCGATCGACAAGTTTAAGCTCACCAAGACATTTTTCGACGGCGAGGGCGATTTGGAACTGCTCACGAGAAAGGGCGTGTATCCGTACGAATACATGGATTCGTTTGACAAGTTTCGAGAGGAAGGTTTACCCGGTAAGGAGCTCTTTTACAGCAGCCTGCGCGACGAGGGTATAAGCGACGACGACTACGAGCACGCGGCGAGGGTTTACGAGCATTTTAAATGTAAAAACTTCTGCGATTATCACGACCACTACCTCAAGACGGACGTTTTGCTGTTGGCCGACGTGTTCCAAAACTTTAGGTCGTCGGCGTATCGAGAGTACGGATTGGGCCCGTGCAACTATTACACGCTGCCGGGTTTCAGTTGGGACGCGCTGCTCCGCATGACCGGGGTGGTGCTCGAGCTGATTACCGACTTGGACATGTACATGATGATCGAAAAGGGAATCAGAGGCGGTCTCACCATGGTTTCCCATCGATACTGCAAGTTTAACAACAAGTACTTGGACGACTACGACGAGACGAAACCCAGCACATACGGACTAGATCTCGATGAAAACAATCTGTACGGGTGCGGCATGAGACAGCCGTTGCCGGTATCGGATTTTAGGTGGATCGATCCGGACGAGTACGAAAAGGCCCTCGAGGCCAAGGCCGACGCCGACAAGGGGTACTTTCTCGAGGTGGACTTGGAGGTTCCGGAAGAACTGCACGATCTGTTTAACGATTACCCCCTGGCACCCGAGATGCTCGTACCCCGTCGCGAGTGGATGAGTCCCTACCAGCTCAACCTGCTGGGCGACGATGATCCAAAGGTCGAGAAACTCGTACCGAACCTGATGCCCAAGACTAAATACGTCCTGCACTATAGAAACTTGCAGTTTTATCTCGCCAAGGGACTCGTGCTGACCAAGGTTCATCGCATCGTCGAGTTTACGCAGAGGGCGTGGATGAAAGAGTACATCGACATGAATACCGAGCTCAGAAAGGCGGCAAAAACCGACTTTGAAAAAGACTTTTTCAAGCTAATGAACAATTCCGTTTTCGGCAAGACTATGGAAAATGTTCGCAACAGGCAAAATGTCATCTTGTGTAAAAATAGCGAAACTAGAAAAATAGCCAAGCTCTTGGCGAAACCAAACTTTAACAGTCACGTCGCTATCAACGATGACCTCGTAGCCATCCACATGAACAAGACGCGGGTCGTGCTCAACAAACCCATCTATTGCGGCGCGGCCGTCTTGGATCTGAGCAAGCTCGTAATGTACGAGTTTTACTACGACAAGCTCAAACCCATGTACGGCGATCGCGTCAAGCTCTTGTACACAGACACCGATAGCCTGATTCTCAAGATCACCACCGAGGATGTTTACGCCGACATGCGAGAAAATTTAGACTGGTTCGACACGAGCAACTACGACGAGGGCAGCATGTTGTACAGCGAGAGAAATAAAAAAGTACCGGGAAAGATGAAGGACGAATTGGGTGGAATCCCCATGTCGGAATTTGTTGCGCTCAAACCGAAAATGTATTCGTTCAGGACGCCAGAGCCGAGGCTGAACGTCAAGCGGGCAAAGGGGGTCGCCAAATACGTCGTAAGGGGTCATCTAAGTCACGACGATTACGTGCGGGTGTTGACGAGTAGAGAGGATATGTATTGCGACATGACCTCGATTCGAAGCAGCAAGCATTTGCTTTTCACGTTCAAGCAGACCAAAAAGTCGCTATGCCCGTTAGACACAAAGATGTATATACTCGATGACGGAATCTCTTCCTACGCGTTTGGAAATTGGAGGATTGCACATTCCCCGACATGATTTGGAAATGACGTCATCGATTGACGAAATGACCTTTTGTGATGACGTCATCGATTGACGAAATGACCTTTTGTGATGACGTCATCGATTGACGAAATGACCTTTTGTGATGACGTCATCGATTGACGAAATGACCTTTTGTGATGACGTCATCGAGGTCAATTACGTCATTTTGGTAGTCAGGAAAAAGCTGGGCCTATGTTTGTTGTAAAGAGTCATTTTGGTAGTCAGGAAAAAGCTGGGCCGCGTATTCTAATACACAGTGTAGTGCATTTGAATAGGGTCGGCCGGGAACTCTCATTTTGCTATCTACTTGTTCTAATACCTCAATTGTTCTTACGTTACTCTTATACATTAGCCATGGGGGTTGATCCAGAATTTTTTTTTAGATGAGGGGCAGCAATCTCATATAGGTCTAAATATTATAAGACAATAAGTATCCAACAATAGTAGGATTCGTGTTCAGTACAATAATGTAACATTTAGTTTATGTTTTTTTTCTGTTAAAATACAAGACAGTGACAAAACTGGGGGGAAACGTTCCTCTCCATAATTAATGTCCCTGTAGGCGGCCTACATTTGTATAGATATGCATATGGTACTTTCTGTTGATAGATATGCATACTTACTGTTATTTACATCTTATGATTCACCACTGCAGTTGTACAATAATAAACTAAAGCAAATTACGCGATTGTTTCTCATTGGCAATAATATAGGCCGGATGCAACGCCGGGGATGGCGTGCGACATTACAGTATACCAGCTTCACGAACAGCGGCCATTGTGAATATAGAGGAGTACGGTAGTCCACCAGGCCGATATGTATTTAATGTTGGTGGAGAAAGTGTGACTGGAGACTGTCAGACATACCAAGGTGGAAGTCCTGTTTTTTTTTTTTTTTTTTTTTTAGATACCATAATGCTAATGTTGATATGTGCTAATGGTAATAACAGACATCCTACCTAAAGCCTATTTTCCACTTGGCGAATTTATTCGCGCGAATGAAAAGCGGCGGCTCATGCACATGCGCATTCATATTTCTATCGGAGTTTTTGCTAGCGAAAAAATGCGCAACCAATCAGAACTCAGGAAGCGAACCGACGCTTTGATTCGCGGGAATGAATTCGCCTAGTGGAAAACCAGCTTAAGAAGCGTGTGGCGCAGGGCGTAAGGAGTTGGAATTTCAATCGGAAGGTCAGGGTGGGGAGGTACACTATACTTGTGTCCTTGGGCAAGGTACTTTGTCTACGTTTACCTCTCTTCACCTAGAAGTATAAATGAGTACCTGGTAGGTGATTTGGAATAAAATTAGGAGTGCTGATTACACGCATAACCAGGAATGCTCCCAATGATCGTTGGAGGTTGCACGTTGTAAGATTAATTCTGTATCCAATTATCAGGGGTGAGAAGCGCCTTGAGCAGTATTCTGAATATGTGCGCTATATAAATTTTATAAAATAAAGTAAGTAAATAATTATAATATGACGATAATTATGATAAAATATGAAAATTGTAATAATTATAATGACAAAGAAATATAGCGCGGCTAGCTAAGTGCATTGGTGCTTGAACCTATTACAGCCACTAGGTAGAGAAAGGTGCCTTGCCAAAGGTCATAAGTGAAATCGAAGAGTTAAGAACACCAAAAGGTAGGTCTGACTATTGGGGTTTCGCTAGAACGTAATTTAACAAAGTAGGCCTACTGCCACAAAGGAGCGTGCCCTTAAAAAGTTTCGAGCGAACTAAATTCTAACAGGGCGCCCCCTATCTTTTGGCAGTAATTTTTTTTTCACTTTATATTGCGCGCATACAAAATCTGCGCAGTCGGACCTTTTGCATCTATACCCCCAATGATTCGAACCTTTGAAGGACCACCAACATTGTAACATCTTTCTTATAGGCCAAGGAGATAGACCTACATCCGGTTCGTTGTTACTTTATCCTGCTTTTGGATCAATGTTGGGTGGAAATAAAACCAGCATTCAAGGACCATGTTTCCAGAACACCGACAATGTCATGTGCAGATTCATAGACAAAGACACTGGACCGACGACACCATGTCAATATTTAGATAGGCGAACAGTGTCTTGCGTTGTGCCTATCCTACTCCGTATTGGCCGAGTCTATGTGTTTCTATCAATTGATGGAGGTGCAACATTTGGCTTTCAGGGAATATACACCTCTGGTAAAGTAACTAGTTTTTATAAGTCTACATCGTGAACCACCCAGAAATAAACTCGTTCATGCCAGAATGGCTACATGACTTTTTATGTCAATTCTTATCTAAATTAAGACCCTTAGTTTTTGATTGACACATGTAGGATGAATTAAGCTGTTTGTAATATTATTATTGCAATGAAAGCCAATTCCGGGGGTATTTACTTATTTATTTATTTATTAAACATATTTATACAGGATAACATGTATCAGGGGGGTGTAACAACCTGTTTTACACATGACCCTGTTTTGTGATACAAAATTACACTTTAAATATCAACAAGTTGTATATTCATAGACTGAAAAAATACAATTAAGTATTAGTTAGAACTGCACATGCTTGTATACAAGGTCATTCGATATAAACCCATGTGTATGGCGTTTATGCTGATTGAAGTCGATTAACCTCGATACAAGCATGTGCAGTTCTAACTACGAATTGGTTCATTGTGTTGAGTAGGTTTCGTAGGCTTAGGTATTGGAACGGTACCAGATAATTCAACATCATAGAGCATATTAAGATAAACAAAAATAAACGCTTTTGTCTTCTCATGTCCAGAATAAACTACTTGTATGCTAGATTATCACTCCCACCCGCGTCAAAAAATCCGGAAATATTGAGGCGGGGATTAAAAAAAAAATTTAAAAAAATTGCCGCATCAATTGTTTTAGCAGCATAAAAATAACAATGTAATTTTGTGACTTCAAACACATTTTCTTTAAAAAAAAAAACAAACTACAAAATTAAACCAGTTTTTATACAATATTTACTATTACAGACCAAATATAAACAGTCCCTCCCTCATCGATAAAAACTAAAGCGAAATAATCTATTGTGCCGATTAAAAAAAAAAAAAAAAAACGCCCTCCCTCATCATTTATTTTAAAGAGTGATAACCTAATAATTTTTTCTATGTGCCCTAAAGCCAATCGTAGAATGGCGAGCTTTGATGTTTCATTTTTACAGAAGACATATATCTAGCCTCTTTAGAAAGACTGTTCTTTTCTGTTGTGTTGTCATCAGCAATGTGTGTTCTTCGACCCATTGCCGGACACTTGGTGCTCCATCTCGCATGTCTTTCGTGAGTCATGTTGGATGTACGGTATGCTGAAGAATTGCTCCATAGCCTGTAAAAATTCCCCTCTCTCATCACTCATCCGTGACGATACTTACCCCCTTTCCTCCACAGTATAACTCTTATGCGAGGTCCGTCAGAATGGCAATGGGTCGATGCTTTCATCTGTCCAATACATGTTCTTGTAAATTGTGTGGTTCACTGGCATTCCTGTACCGACCTAACCTGCCCTTGGCCAATAATAAATATCGCTCACGCAAACCATAATACTGTAGCACGTTAATTACCACATTTTAATGACAAGTGATACTTCCTTCTCAGTAAGTGTTGAAGATGTCACTGATGACGTAGCACCAAAAGTTGAACTAGATACGGACGGCAAATATCCTAAGGTTGTGTGGCCGAATGATGCTTTGGCCGGATCTTACTACGATATAGATGTTTATGTATACTTTGATGGTTCAGACTCAACCGATCTAGAAAACGATAAAATTAACGTGGCGAATAATATTGTCCTTCAATCTAGTGGGGACCTGGAGTTTGAAATCAACCTCAATCAACCGCAGTTAACGACTAAACATGTAGGATTTATACGGATATCACAAGGAGATGAAGAAGGGGGTAAACACAGGTAGGCCTAATGTTGATATTTTAATCGTATCTTCATGAATAAATCCGTTTGTTCTACGCCAATATCATTGGCATTTGCATTTCTCTGGTCTCTGCTGGCCAAATGGGTTTCTGCCTGCACTTGCAATTTCTTACAGAATATTCTTTCCGTAGACTTTGGCTGGCTCAAGATGCCTATGGTAATGTTAGACTCAAATACATTGAGAAATATAGTCCTATATGCTTTTTGTTATTAATCGTTGTTAAACGAGATGTTGATTCTTCCAGCATACAGTTCCATACATAGAAACGATCTGACAAATACACCACATAAACATGGAACATAAAGTAACTAGGCTTCAAAAACCAACATAGTTGAAATTTAAATACCTTGCAATTATTTACTATTATATTTTTTGTTCACAGTTTTGCATTATCGATATGGAGTGATCCATTTGACTATAGTATTTTTACTAGTTTGAATGTGCCGAAGTGGTGCATATCCTGGGGGAGTCTTGAGTTGCAAAATCCCGTAAAACTTTCCTCATCAAATGAACTTAAGTGTCCATGCAACTTACAGAGTGCGTTAGTCGATAGGGGGCACTTCTCACCGAGTCCGCGCTGTTCAAACACAGTACCTGAATCGTGCTCTGATGAGGTCGACATTGCTCATTGCGTTCGCAGCAGAACGCCAAGGTAAATATTCTTTTTGGTTCCTATGCCATAACATTATCACATACCTGCCTACATGTGTGAATGTTAGTAGACCTATGCACATTAATTTTTCATCAAACTATAATCTACCAGTGGCCGTGAATTCATTCTTTAAGAAGTTACATAATAATGTGCTGAATTGTCAAGACCAATTAGATTTTTCAACATGTAGACCAATATGATAAGTTAGAAACATAGAGCTATTAAACAACTAGAGTGCTGACAAGATGGCGGAGCAATGCAGAGT